TAAGAATTGTTGTGTTTTTGTTAACTTAGAATGAGACATTTTTATCTACAGACACCACTGGCCACTATGTTTCTACAGTAGCCCAGAACGACACACATCAAACAGTGGCTGTAGATAGGGCCATTCATGGCCACCGTAGTTTCTCCTACACACTTCACAGCCCAGGTTGTCAGATACAGACATGAGTGGTAATATGAACTTCACTGCTAGACGCCTTTAAATCCTACACACTAGTCCTTTAAGTAAAACCGCATCAGGTATTAGCATCAAAATTTACTTGGTGTTCAAAAAGTAAAAGTACTCAATAGGCAGAATGACCCGTTCAAAATAATCTTATATATATTACTGTAGTATAATAATTGATGCCTTAACATTTACATCACTAGTAAAATATAAGTTAAGGCTACTTTTAATTACTTTACATACCAATAAAGTCAAAGATCATTAAAGTCTTATCATATAAATCTATTTGTTTATAATTTTATGTAGTTTTGGGCATTTTTGCCTTTTTTTGGCAGTGAAGAAACAGATGGGAAATGGGGGAGAGGGGTTATAACATGCAACAAGGGCGCCCAACCAGAATCAAACCAGTGTTGTTGATTTAGGGCCCAACAGTGCAATATGTGGTATTATTGCCTTTTTTGTAGTTTTTGCTACTAATTTTGTAAAGTGGTACAGCGGGATAATCTTGTTAGCTGCTGAAAGTCACCCTTGTTAACCCGAAACACTGATGAGTCACGGGACGCAAACACCGTAGATGTGGTGAATTGAGATAATTAGCGGACTAGTCAGCATTTTCTACTAAAACACTGCTGGTGTTTCCAGTAGGGAGTTTTTCCAGAGCGAGTGAGGGGGAGGCTACGTGACTTTTCTCCTGTGTGGTATTGTAATCTTGGGCTGTGAATTAAGGTATACTGAGTTGCAGTTTCAGACAGCACCTCTGCTTTGTTGAGTTGAAACTTGGTAAGGTGATGAGGTGACGGCGGTGGCTTGACATCCCTTGCGGTGCTCTTTAGTGCATGCTATGTGACATGCGCTGCAACCATTTGGCTACCAAGGTGCTCTTGTATTATGCATGTTTAATCTAAATCTGCAAGATAACTCTTAACTAAAGTTATAAATGTACCGTAAGTCTAGTTTTAGCTGTCTCACTGTTATAAAACATTTGTTCATCTCACCGGCTGCAGGCTCTTTGGAGGGAAACAGCTTGTTGTCCAAAGTCATGCTGATGTCACAGAAGACCTCCTCCTCGTCTCGGTCAGCATCCAACTGAAGGGAGAAGAACAAAAGTCATGGCCTTGATGATCTGTTCATTCATTCACACCTTTAACTTCTTCTGAGCTACTTTGCGGTCGAGCTTGACAGAAATGCCAGATGACATAGACAAGAGTCATGACCTGAACATCACAAACACAACAGATATGATCAGTCTGTTAGGCCACCGTGACATCCAGAATGACACTCATTATAAGATCAAACATAAGAAACGAGCTCTGGTGCTTGGAGCTACACACTCGGGTTATTTTGTATTCAACACACATCATAAGCTTTAATAACACTGGATTAATTAGGCTCCCTTCTGTGTCAATTGCTCTCTCTCGCATTATTCGGAGGCCGGCTGGCTCCCTTTGCACGTACAGTGTTCACAAATTGACCATGGAGAATCTGCTTTGGGAGCGAACTAGAAACTGATTGAAGCAGACTTCTCCTCCTTTCTAATCTGCACTTTGGCCGTCCCTCTGCTCTCGTCAGGCCCGACGACGAGTAGCTAAAAGGCGACCTTGTGCATAGAAAAACTGATACAAACAAACACGCTAGATATAATACACCTTCACGTATGTGATTCTCCACAGAGCTACTTACTCAACATGTCCACTAAATGAAGAAATGAATGAATGTCAGCTGTGGGAGACGAGGTCAAGAGAAATGCAAGATAAAGAAACGATGGCCGAACAACAACCAACAACTGGCTTCCACCTGAGGTTTCCATGGCAACAAACCTAAAAAAAGGTGTCTGCCGTGTACTGTGTGGGAGAGTTCCCGAGCCCCCGAGGGCCCCGCTAGTCCACCTGCAGAAGAGTAGCAGAGGGGCTCAGACTGAGGATTCCCTGGAGAGCGTGGCATTCAAAAACCCATCAGAGCCACTCAGACCTCTCAGTGTCTGGCATCCCGAGCAGAAAAAGCTCCCGCTGTCACACTGCAGTGTCTTTATAGCCAAAATGTGTTCCCTGCTTCAACAGAGAGAGGCTCCGTATAATCCATTTATACTTTACAAGAAGCTCTCAAGGACAGATTAATAGCTTTAACTTTTTGGAGGAAAACTCGACAGTCATCTGAATGATTCAAAGTCATAAGAGTGGCTCTTACGGCAGAGGACGAGGAATGAAACCAAAACCCAGTATGATCAATGAGATAGAGCTGTACAATATTTGAGCATATCCCCATGCAGTGCAGCAGAACGGAGTGTTTAGAGGGCAAAGTGCATATGTCTCCATTGATTAGGGTAATAATCAAAACTGCTGCTGCTGAAAATGCTGACTAGTATTTTCAGGTGGTAAATCTATTTTTTGTTTTCCTATTTGTTACAACAAAATAAACATTAACACAGGTAATGACATCAGCTGTTCTACATGATCTGCTACACTGACATTTGAAAACCTACTTTGTTAGGGGCCAAACCTCCAGCAACACTTTATAGAACAACTTAATCAGGGTCATCATTAAACTACATTTAAAAATTTAAAACAGAAAAGAAATTAGAAAAGTTTAAAAAAAATAAGCACATGCATCCACACATATATGAGCCATTGGGATAACTACAAAGGTGGATTGGGTGGTCAAGAAGTTCTAAATGTAGAAGAAATACATGTTTTTTAAGAGTACATATGTACATTAAATCCCTCTCTAAAATAAATCCAGCAATTGGCAATCATGTCTTCAACCATTAACAGTCAATATTATAATCAAGGGGTGCAACCATACAGAAGACAGACATAAAGATGTCTCATCCAAAAAATTGTTTTACCATCACCTAAAAAAAACAAGCATCTTTTTATGAACTGATAAGGTGAAGCGAGGTGTAAGCACTCATGCATTATCTCAAACATCTGAAAGAAGGAGACGTAGAATGAAGGAAGCAGATGAATCAGAGTCTTAAGCCTTGAGACAACTTAAAGCAGCAGCTCCCGTTAGACTTATTTTCATGAAGATGCATTCAGGGTAATCTGTCTGTTGTTTTAATCACTCAATGCTCAATGTTGTCACTCTGAGGGGACATATAAAAACATATAAATAGATATAGTTATTAAAGACCAAATACCAATTTCAGGTCATTCAGTCTCAGTTTCAAAGCGTCGTTCATACCTTTACTGATGCCTGTATCTCATGTATATTTCAGGGATAATGAACTACGTACCTTCTAACCACCCCTGGAGAGATAAGACACCCAGAAAGACGGAGCGAGGTGTCTTTTATTTGTTTATATCTGCGTGGCATCTAGCAGCATGTGGGAAGGAAGCTGCAGCTGAACTCACTCAGGGAATATTTAATTAGATGGATCCTTTTTCCTAGAATGACAGGACGACTTCAATTGAGGCCACAACAAACTATTACCCCCACCCCCCCCGCTCTGCACTTTCCAGTTAGGCTTCATTGTGGAGGTGTGTGTGTATGTGTGTGTGTGTTTGATAAGTTGAGTCATCTCACATGAAAAAAGCGTCGAATTTTTAGCTTAAGAATCTAATTTTTCAGATGAATCCTATAACTTTGTCAGAAAAAGGTCAAAATTAAAGACGCAGAGAAATTGCACATCAGAGGTGCCAAAACTTTTTAACAATGACAGAAATAGGACGAGTTAATTTAATGAAATATTGAGAATTAATAGACTTGGACACATGTGTAGTAACAATTCAGACTTTCCAATTCGGAGTCGACAATGTGGAGTAATGAATTACTGGGATTGTTCTTTTATAGAGTTATGTCTTCCTGGACCTGACATTTAAAATGAAAGGGTTACTTTCACACAAAAGCCTTTCGCTGAGAGAAAGCAATTAAGTCTCAGCGGTTATTGCATTCATTAGTCAAGAAACTATTGAACCCTTCTCCTAGGATAATTACTGAAGAGCAGGAGGAATTTATTCAATCAGAAGTTAATCTCATCTTTAAAATCTGTTTTGTCTTCAGATGAAGAAAGTAGATACAGTTTACAAATGTTACAGTTTTTGTGTTTTGGTTCTAGTTCTTTAGAGGACAGTTAGTTGCTGTTTAGACAACCAAACAATACAGCTTAAAGAAAGTGAAACAAAGTTTATATACTGCACTATTTTACAATGACACACACACATATTACTGCCACTGTTCATTGTGACATCTGAGACAAAGAATCTCTGCTGTATGTAGCTGCTTTCCCCATGAATGTGTTGCCTTTTTACAAACGGGATGCTGCTATTTGTCCTTGTTTGAATCTATCTTTTTTATCTGTTCCCATTTATATATCTTACATAGTGAGCTGAAATGATTAGCCCATTAACTGATTAGTCAATTAACTATTAACAAAAAATAAACTGCAACTGTTTTGATAATTGCTGAATCGTTTCAGTCATTCTTTCAGTTACCTTGCTTAAGTTGTGATGGGCATTTGTCACTATGTTTTTATGTTTCATAGGCTAAACTAACTCAATTACAAGAAAAAAGAATAATCTGATTAATCAATAATGAACACAGTCATTATTTGCAGCCTTACTTTCAGGTAAGGCTGCTTTCTTTGCCATGTGTACGGCCATCTTACTGGTTTTCTAATTTTTGTTTAACATGTGTGCAAAGACTTCAGTCAGGTATCACTGTGAGAGCAGACAGAGCCACCCGCTAGCCGCTAACTGTGCCTGTCTGCTGTTTGGTGCTGAGCAGTGGGCTTTTCACTTCTCACTGCCTGCTGTGGCTGAAAATGGAGCCATGAGACTGAGCCAGACAGAAAAACCCCCATCTGAAACTTGCTGTGAAGCTCCGTTAAGCTGAGGGCAGCTGCAGCAGATTCGGGTGATAACTCTCTGCTGGTTCATCACTGCGAACAAACCATTTTCACATTACACATTCTCTTTTGTTGCACTGCTATCATAACAGTGTTACTTTTACTACTACTTAACGCTGTACCTTTCGACCAACACTTCCTGACATTTCCTGTATAGATACACACAAAATAGCCAACAACGAATGCTAAGAAGCTACTGTTTTTCAAAGTAGTATACTACCAAAGTCAGAGTAAGATGTCTTGTAATGCTGCTCATTCATTCATTTATAATGATGCAGAAAAAAGGCTACTCCTCCCATGACAAAGCACAGATGGACAAATCGGGTATTACTCTAAATGGACAGAAAATTAACCAAGCATTGACACAATAGACCTCAGGGGAGGATTTCTGACTACTAATCCATTACACAGCTGTATGGTTTTATCCTTTAATGAACCACAGTGTTAATCGGTCCTCTGTTCAGGATGTACCCTGACAGCACCTCAATTTATCAATTTATGTCAGTTTTAGGAATCACAAGATTGTCTGTCATTTAAGGAATGTGTGCTGGAGGTAGACTGTCCACCAACCATCCCAGGTTCACGTGGATGAAGATCATATTTACTACTCTGTTGTGGCTTTATCGCATCAAAACATCTGTACTCGGTCGCCCGGTTAGCTCACTTGGTAGAGCTGGCGACCATGGCAGAAATGGAATATAATATTCATAGGTATATATTCATTAGTGTGTAATGACCTGAACATATTGGTTGTGTTTTTGTTTTGTCTTCCACAAAGTCTGCCATGTTGAATTGTCATGTTTCTACAGCAGCTTTATGAGATATCATTTTTAAAGTTTTAAGTTAAAAAATGTGAATTAGGGTTTGAATCTGACCTGTGGCCCT